GCGACGGGCCGGAGCCAGAGCTGCATGAGCTCCTCGCAGGGACGTGCTGAACGCTGCCCTAGCCGGCTGACTGTGCTGGAGTCCGCCAGGACAGGTAGCGTGTAGGGTGCACTGGGACTTTTCGCACTCTTGCGGTCGTAAAAAGGCGCGCGAAAAAAAAAAGAAAGAAAGTTTGGCGCTTCTGAATGCAAATCGCTTGTGGTCACCGGACGGCGTGATGCTCATGCTGTGGATTGTGTATGCTTGCAGGAGCCATGGGCGCCGGTAGGAGCGCCTTTGCCTGTACGAGGGTCATATGGGCATTAGCTTAGCGGTTGCGAAGCAGGCTTTCTAATTCATCAGTCGTCTGTTTCGTGGCCGCTTGATGTGAATACGTCATCTCATCGCATTCGGTGGCGCTGTCTTGCATCAGGCAGATACAGCCTCGTGTTTCCGCCTCTTTTCCCACCCACCCACCCGGCTGCAGAGCGGCTTAGGAAGAGGGAACGGGGAGAAAGGTAGCCTGTTGGCAGAGTTCTGCTGGATGGCTTGTCCCGGCATCTTGCAAAACAGTGTCGGCGCACCTGCAGGAGTTTGAGCTTTGGCTTGTTAGGATGGGTGAGAGGTTCGCCGTGGTGCAGCACGATGCCCTGCACCGAGCGGCGGCCACCCTTCACCCCGACGACAGTTTTGGTCGCGTTTCTAGACGACCTTTACATCACCACGACGCTTTCCCGCGCCAGGACGTCGTTGGACGCTGCTATCGAGGCCGTGGCCGGCCACTGTGGCATCGAATTGCTGCAGAAGTTCAGGGTGGGGCGAGGAGCAGAACAGCAACAGCAACCAGGCGCATTCCAGGTCTCGTCGAGCAGCTAATGAGCTAATATTCCTCGTTTTGTTTTGTACACCGCAGTCAGTCTGCCGCTACGGGCCCAGGACGCGGCTGGGCTGAGGCCCGCTGGTCCAACGGGCGTCTGCGAGGAGTGGTTGAAAGCCCGCTTCGCGCAGCAACAGCGACGAGGCTATTTTACCGGAGAGCCCAGGCTGCCTGCGTAGCTGGGCTGGGCGGAGCGCAGTCGGCGTGGTGAGGCACGGGGGCGCGCACGCGCACAGGCGGAGGAAGGAGGCCGCCAACCTCAAGCCCAAAGACGACCAGGTGGCACCTCCTGAGGCTGTCGAGCTCGGGATAAGTTTGCCTGCTCTTGCGCCTGGCAGCTGTGCACGCAGCAAGGCCTGGCTGGGCCTATGTGCCGGGATGCGGTCTACCATCCCGTGAAACAGGGCTAACCAGCGTAGCGTCGACGGCAAGCTGTTCACCATACCAGAGCGGGAGGCCGTTGCATACGACCTCGCTGCGCCGGCCGTCGTGGATAGGCACATCGAAGTTCATGGCCGACAAAGTACCACCAACGCAGGCTCCGGCTTCTTGGCTGACCCGCGCGATGGCCCGCTCGATCGGCTCATTGAGTGGGCCACGGCACAGGAGCAGGCTCGCGGTCCAACCGGCAGGGGGGAGCCGAAGGCGACGGAGGAGGAGGATCCGAAAGTGGGGCGAGGGGATGCATACATTCTTGGAGGTAGGCAGAACCGTGCGGGCTCGTGCGGAATGTGGCCCGGCCCATGAAAGCAGCAGCGCACGAGAGGCTGGTGTGAGAGCAGAAGGATGCATCTCGAGCGCGTGCTCATCACAGGCGTGGGCAGCAGTCCGCTGCCACCCGCACAGGCAGTCAGAGGGCTCGTCGCGGGGCGCAAGTTGGCTTGCCCCGGAATCGCCTCTTCCTAATTAGCGACCTGGATGGAAGCCGGACGGATTAGCCTGGCGAGGGACCGCGGCGGCCGAAGAGTAGTCGGCTGTAGGACGGTAGAAGCAGGACACCTTTCGGCAGGGCGGAAAAAGGTGTGAGGAAAAAAACAAATTCAAGGACTTTTGGCAGCTTACTACAAAATCCAACTTGAGGATTGGGTTTGCAATCGCTTTTGTTGGGATACCTTGGGCATTTGCACCCATTCAAGTGCATCATGGGAACATGCGGCACAACAGCTGCAACGCCACTGTCGTGTTTGACGACACTATATGCCACACCATGCAAGCTGATTGTGACATATTCGGCATGCATTACGGTGGAGATTTCAGAAAGCTTTGGGATGCGCGTGGCCTCCCATGGCGCTTGTTGGCCGCTTGATGGTTTGATCACTGCAGCGCCGCTGCGCTGCCGAACCCAAGTGTTCAATGCTAACAGGGGCCAGCATTGCCAGCATCGTGGACTGCATCCAGCAACATCGGATTTGGTTCCGCTGTTTCCCTGGCGCGCCATGGCCGTTGCGTGCAGGCATGGATCAGCCATCGCTGGCGTCATGGCCGCCAGCTTGGCCAGGGAATTCTTGTTCCAGGATTTTGGGTGGGACAAAGCGAGTGCAATGTAAGCACAAGCGCTGAGGGTCGCTCAGATGGCCTTTTGATGTCGCTTGGCGCAGGCTGGTCGTTTCTGCTCACGAAGCACTCGCTGCTTCGGGTCCGGCCCAGCAGAGCCAGAATCGATGGCGACAGAAACTTTCCGAGATGCTCCTCGGCAGCATGAACAGAGGCTGCAGGGAGTGCTTCAAGAGATACTCTTGGCAGTTAGTGTGCCGTGCCATGCTTGTTAGTTGTTGTAAGCAGGTCGGCGAAGTGCGAGTTTTTGCATATCCCGTCCAAGACCGGGCTCGATGCATAGCAGTGGTGAGAGGCGATTTTTGCCGTAAGCTTTTGCAAGTTTGTGCTTCTGGATCTTCCTGCACCAACTTTCCGAGTGCTTGTTCTGGAGTTCAAGTATGCTAGTTGCAAGACAATCCTAGGATTTCGCTTCCAAATTGCGGCAGTCAGTGCCTGTAAGGAGACCTAATTTTCCATGCAGGATCGTGGTGCATTGCCTTGGATTCTGGCTGCTAGCGGAGGAACTGTGTGTACCGAAGCTGGTGGGTTTTATCAGGAGATGTAGCGCCATGAGGCTCCGCTACCACCCCTGGCTTCAAGTAACAATTCTGCAGGCAGGAGCGACGGATGAGAGCTGTGCCCTGATGCCAGGCAATGTCTCGAGACTCGGTGGTGTTCCCATCCCGGTGCGAATTCATTCCGAGTGCTTGCTCGGCGATGTGTTTGATTCCACGCGTTGCCAATGTGGGCCGCAATTGCGAGACTTTATGCTCAACGTCTTGGGGAACGACGAGCATAGAAACGGTGCGATGCTATATATGCAGGCGGGATTCGTTGAGTTCTCGTTTATATGCAGCATGTGAGCTCTGTGACACGAGAGCAGGGCCACGAAGGCAAGGGCATCGGCTTAAGCAACAAGCTCCGCAGCTACGTTTTGCAGGCCCGCCTTAACATTGACCTTCCATGATGCACCAACGCAGTGGAGTCTTTTTCGCAGTTTGAGTCGAGGATGGATCCGAGCAGCTTTCTGAAGAAGACGCGAACATTCGCCTTGGTTTCGCACCGGACGAACGCAGCTTCCGTGCGGCTGCCGCGGCGCTTGAGCACCTTGAAGTAGACAGCGTTGTCCTATACACGGACAACCCACGCAAAGTTGCAGGCTCGCGTGCCCACGCGCAAGAGTTCATGGCATGTTCGTGTGTTCCGTTCTTGCAGAACACAATCGACGGGTTAGTTGGTTCGGGCGTGGCCTGCTAGTTGTCGAACCATTCAAGTATGGTCAGTAGCGCCTTGGAGCTAGGTTACGGCTGACGCATGTGCTATGCTACGGGCACCGTCACGTTGGAAGACAAAGCAGCTGTGTGTGATTTGACGCACGAGCAGGCATCTCCGCGGCAATCGCTGCTGTTGTTCCGTGGTCTTCGCGGGAGCAGAGATGGATTGATGAGGCGGTGTGGGCCAGGATACGTGGACAGCCGACGTGAACAAGTCGCACAGGATGTCTCTCCAACGAGACCTCTTGTGTCGTTAGAATTTATTGCAAAGGTCTTCGCTGGCCAAGAGATCGCCGGCATGGTGACTAAAATGACTAGAACGCGCAATGCGATTCTGCATGAGAGCATAGACAGACCTTGCCAGCAGCGCATGGATGCTTATCGTACCTGTACGTTGCCTGATGATGCCTGGCCCGAGGGACATCTTGCGAGTAGTTTTGCCTTCATTAGTACATTAGCAAGCATTTCTTAATGCCCGCATGGAATGTGAACGTGACATTCGGCGGCGAGAAGCGGAGAAGATGCCTTAAAGTTGCCGTGCTGGGTCTTGGTGCCTGCATTATCTGGCCCTCGTGGCCGTGCGGAGGCTTTGTGAACTCTGCGACGTCGGCTCCCAGAGGTGAGATACGCTCCAGAGCATCTGACCTGCGTGTCACGTTGCCTGCGGCAGCAGTCTTGGACCTTGGCACTGCGCCAGCAGAACCGTCAGCCGTTCAAATTCTAGTCCCGTTGCTTTGTGCAATAATTCCTGTCGCATATTGGTGGTACGTCCTTGTTCCCTTCAAGCGGCGTGAATTGGCTTCAAGCAAGCGCAAGGGCGACATGAAAGAGTATCTTCAAGACTTGGCCACAGCGCCCGTGCGGGAAAGAAAGCCTGAGAAGTGGCTCTTTGACAAGTATTTGCGGGAGGCGAAACTTATAGAAGCTGGCGAGGCATCTGGGCTCCCAAAGGCGGTTCAGACCGTAGAAGCTGGGCTGCAGCAGCAGCTTCCAGGTGGTGGATTCTGGAGCTTTGATAACCCAATTTTCGTTTGCTTGGTGATGCTGTTGATTTTCTGCGCCACGCAGGTGGCAATGCACAGTTTGGTGTCCGCGTGAACTTGTCGGCTCACCCAGCCACTCGAGAGTTTTCAACTTTCACGTGGCAGGGCTTGTCTGACACTTCGGAGAAAAGAAGAACTCAAGACCAAGCCGCAGACCAGCCTGCAATGCCATTCCGGAGCGTGTGGTGATACGCCATAGCTCCCGCATGATGTGAGGCCAGAGTCGCCTGTGTACAGTGAGCAAGCGCTCTGGAGAGGGCCAGCTGCTTCCTCGGCAAATCAAAGATTGCTGGGGTAGCCACCAACTTGAGGTGCCTTAAGTCGAATGCCACAAAAAGAAAACCCTGCAGCCTGCATTGTTGTAGGCAGGAGTGGGGTGTTAGGGTGTTGATAAGCGCTATGGTGGCACATGAGTGGCATCGCCGGCAGAGCTTTGGAACTGTATAGCTGCGCCGAGCCCCGAGCATGGAGAAGGCCCCGCTGCTTCCTGCAGGAGCCGGCAAGTGCCACAAACATCCCTGAGCTGTCCGCACTTGCTCTTGGAGGAGAAAGCTCCGTTGCGCCAAGCTGGCCCGTGGTGCAGCCACCTGAGCCTGCCTACAGCACCCTGAATGTTCCTCGCATGCCATAGGACATAGGCGCGCAGGCCGAGTTGCGTCAGTTTTGTCTGGATGGGTGTTTGATGAATATTTTGCTGAGTATTCCAGGATTGCCAGACGTGCTTGCGTTGCCCGTCCGCGTATGGTTGTGGTTGCTGCAGCGCGCTGCCGCTTGTCTATCCGGCTGCTCTGTGGGTCTGAGCTTCGCAGCTGCACCTGCTCTGCTGCACCAAGGTGTTATGCGACGCTGGGTCTAGTCGTGTTTGCCTTGTTTCTCGTCCTTTATCCTTTCGTGGCTGCACTGGCACTGGTGCTGCTGCTCCTGTTTGGGTGGTTAGTGGGTTATTTGCTGCTCGGCATTGTTGGGAGGTCATAGCTTTCGTGCTCGAGTTTGTGCTGCTTTCGTCAGAAAGGGGCAGCCTTGTGGAGAGAAGACTCTAGCTGAAGCTGAGCCAGGATGGTTTATCTGATTTGCTTGAGACCACCTCCAGCTCTGGTTTGGAAGGGTGCCAAGCTTCTTCAGCTCACGCGGCTGACTTTTTACCAGCTGCCCAAGGCCGCGGAGTGGAGAGTCACAGACTTGAAGCCGAAGGCAAAATTGGCAACCGGCCTGCTGCAGTATGCCATTGCGGTACGGGTGCCGTTTCTCTCAGAGGACGAGCTTTATGCAGGTGGACTCTTCGAGTCGCTGGTGCGGCTCGCTCCGTCTGCCGAGTTCATGACTTCCTCGATGTTTTTCTCAGCGCCGCCAGCAATCAGCAGCTTCAGCAGCTTCAGACAAGGAGAAAACCCAGTTGAATATGTCATGGAAGTCTGTCGGGACATCTACCCCAAAGTGGTGCAGGAATGGAAAGACAAGACTTCGGATCGAGCCTTGGCCCACTTCTGTCTGCACGGACTTGGGGCGCACCGTCTGGAGAAGGCGGATCCGTCGCTCCACCCTGGCTGTGCATACGTGGTGCGAACGAATCAACTGGCTGCGCTGCCAGTTAGGGACGGATTCGAGCACTACGGTAACGATGTGTATTTTGATAAGGACTTCAAGGTATTCAAAATCGTCCGTGAAGAGCAGGTGGAGCCGTGGGAGATGCCAAAGTCAACCACCTTTCTTCCTGATGGTTCCAGAACGTGGGAGTATGCCAAATTCTGTTTCCGCAGTTCCTTGTTTTCATTCGTCACTCTTGTGGACCACCTGTACGGGTGTCATCTGCAGCTTGCGAACGTCGTTGTGCAGGCAATGCGTGAGCAGCTCTCAAGCGATCATCCGATTCGACGCTTTCTGCTGCCATTCTCGTATGGAACAATCAACATCAACGACCTGGCAAGGCAGACCCTCGTGACGCGAGATTCTTTTGTGCCCCAGCTTCTCCCCTTGGACAACGAGGGTCTGCAGCTCGCTTGGGCCTCGGCGTACAAGCTTCTGCCACCCGAGTATGTGCTGGACACTTCTGGAAGTGAGGGGCCGGTGGAGCTCATGGAGGCATTGTTTGACAGGGAGAAGGCCATCAGGCGCAAGCAAGAGCAGGGGCTGGCTACTGCGTATTATCAGCAAGCGTTGAGGTATTGGCACATTTTGCGGAAGTTCGTGGCAGATTACTTGGATCACTACTATGGGACCGGTTCACGTGGAGAGATGGCACTCGCAGCAGATGAGGAGCTGAAGCTATTCTTGCTGCAGACGGTCACGCAGCTGCAAGCTTTCTCGGATCCTTTTTCCACTGGGCAGGTGCATGAGCTGTGGCCGTCTGTTCCGAATTCCCGCAAGAAGCCGATCTATATTGACTTCTTGACGCGCTTCTGCGCATCGGAGCTGCATTTCTCTGTCAAAGAGTGTGTTGACTTTCTCATGGCTCCATCGTCGCTTCCTGATTAGCCTAGGAGCTCGTTACGGTGGGGCATGAGCAGGTGGGCCAGGTGCAAGCCTATGCGCAAGATGCATCGTTTTGCACGTGCCTTGTCTGAATGGCTTTTGCAGCTTTGAGCAACAACTTTTTTGACATGCGGTCACCAGATGTTGGTCTCTGGATCTGCGAGGTTCTCCTGGTCCAAGAGTTTACGGCAAGAAGGCCCGCTTGTAGGACCCAAAGAGGTAGCCCTGGGAGGAGCCTTACTGATGGCTCTGACAAGCACTCCGATGCCGCGATTGCTGGCACAAAGTCCAACCGATAACTGGTCGCTTTGTTGCAATTGTCCGAAGGCCACTGCAGCACAGCCGTCTCAGTCGTATGTCTTTGTGAGCACACTCCGGAGTGAACAAGGTCGCATGTCTTCCCGGGCATGTCGGAGGGTGATCGAGCCAAAATATTCGGCGATTTCCAGGACGAGTTGCGCAAGTTCTCTGCCGAGTGTGACGAGCACCACGGCCTGAGATAGCGAGATATTGCAATACCAGAGGTATTTTTTGTGGGTTGGGGTCTGCGTCCGGAACCAGGTACAACGCAACGGCGGCGGAGCGACCCTTTCCGAACGACTTCGGACTTTGGGTTTTCAATCCCAAATTCCTTGAAACTAGCGTGTCCATTTGAGTTGCGAGCTGCCTGTTTTAAAGCGCGACGCCCTGCTCCTGGTGAATTCACAAGCAAAAGAGCCAGAACAGCCAGATGAGATTCCCAAAAGATGGCATCGGCTGTGTGGTCCCGTTTCGTGCTTCTGGCCTTGAAGATCCTCAGATCTACTGGTTTCAGTGTCGTGGTTGAGAATCTATTGCTTGTAGGCCGAAGATGACCAAAGCCAGTTGCAAGGGAGGCGCAACAAACCTGCAAACTAGTGGTGAAACACTGCATGTTGAAAGCATGAGCCACCTCAGACATCCCAGATTGACGGAGCAGAGACACAAAGGTAGCACACGCTGATTCAGATGACCGAAACGTTTAAGTGTAAGTCATGTCAATTTCCAGTTAATTAATGTTCCTACACATTCCCGCATTCGCGTTCTTGAGCTCGTGCCATGACCGAGGCATCCTGTCCGGTCTAAGAGTACACAGTCAGCACCCTGTACACACTGTGTACAGAAGGTTCCAGAACCCATTTGCTACCGGTGTGGCTCGCTCAGAGACTTGCTGATGTGCGCCGGAGACCTGCTTCATTGTTCAGGTGGATATCCTTGGTCGGGGCACGCTGAAAACTTGGGCCCCTACAACAAGCCAATGCCTCAGAAGCTGATGCGGCTTGATGTTGATCCTTGCCCGTTAGAGCCAAAGCCGGTAGCGCAGGTGGTGCCTGAGGCGTTGGGCAGCTGGTGTCGTCGTTCTGTTTACAGACCTAAACCCAGACTGCCACTGTGCTTGTCATTGCTTGTCAAGTGTCAAAGAAGCAGATGCTGCCGAGGATCCAGTGACCGGCGATCCTTTCTTCCTTTTCGGGAAGGAAAAGCGCTTGGATGGAGGCCAAGTCGGTCGTCAGGTGTTCTTTCTTAGAAGCGAACACCGCGAGAGTTTCCTCAGGCTACAACGCTTTTTGGGGTTTCGGCGAGCTTCACGAGAAGGAATACACGAGTTGTCCACACTTCAGCGCAGTTGCTGGGTTTCCACATCAGGATCCGCATCAGACTGCGGCGCGGGAAGCCTGTGAAGAGGCAACTGCCTTTGGAGACTTCTCAGTCTATGGCTTGGTGCCTCGCTCTCGAGGCCTTAGGCATCTTGGGCAATCAGCAGGAGATCCTTGCATCTATTGAGGGGCAGGCTGGACAAAGTGGTTGCATTAGCTTCAGGGGTTTAATGTCGCCAGTCAGGAGAGTGCTGACGCCGAAGTGTTCTTGTTTCTGCATTCGCCACAGCTCGTGCGCCAGTTTACGGGGCCTTCGCTGTTTGGGCACACACATGCCTGCCGAGGCTGAGCATTGGTACTCAGCATGTTTCAGCGCTTGTGGATCGGACTGGGCCTCATGAATTGAAGCGGTTCGCAAAACAGCGGCGAGTTTGGTTGGAGGACTGCACCTGTATTGAGGTACCACGAGAGGCGCGTCATCTCTCCATGACTCCGCATTCGGCCTTAGCATAGATGCTGGGGTGTGAAGATTTCGGCTTTCGTTGGAGCGTCATATGCATTCTTTGCTGGTGTAAACTGTTGAGAAGCTCGAGCCGAGAGGGTACGGAAATGTTTTAGCACGGGTGAATGTATGACATATAATATGAGTGGCACTAGTGCATCAGCGCGGTGGTGGAGGCAGAAACAAAGGGGAAACAACGAAATAAGCGCAGCACCGGAGCCATTCGTCCATTGTACCTGCGACCGTGTTGTGGGAATCCTGCCCTCCCAATTTCTTGCACGAGACTGGGTTCTGCATTCCACAACTTGTGAACGTTTGTCTGTGTAGCAGCAACAGCGCATGTGCTTGAACAAACAATGATCCGTTTGCCTTCGGCCTTCGGATGTTGGCTTCAGAGAAATACAGCTGAAAGCAAATTTGCAGGCGGCAGCTGTGGATCTCAGCTGCTGAGAGTCCGGTGCTAGTGGAATCGGGCCTGTGGAAAGCCAAAGCTGTCAAACTCAGGCCTGAAGCCGCCTGGGTCTTTGGCCATGACAGCGTCGACGGAATGTTTGCACAGATCCTGCTCCTAGGCTCACGCAACCAGGACTGCGACCAGGAGGCAGGGAAGGTCGAACTGTGTCTTTAGTACAGCCGGTCAGGCCGCGGGGGCAGGGGGCGAAGCATCTGCTTCCAGGCGACATCATGGACGCGCTGTTTGCAGTTCCTGCCCAGGAATTCCTTGCTGCGTGCTGGCAGCTACAGGCCTTTCTGCCCTTTTGCGTAGTGAAAGAAAGAAATCGAATTCCATGCTTGAGGATCGGCGCGGCAAGGGAGGCCATGGATGTCATGGCCATCCGCATTGGCTCCTATGGGACAGCGTACGGAGTGCAGGTGCAGCGGTTTCACTGCACTCAATGAACGGCGGTGTCTTCATGCCCAAAGCAGCTTCCCCAGGTCCGGAAGCCGTGACTTTGCATGTGCAGTCCAAGCTTTAGGTCAACTGTCATCCAAAAAGGTCGAAGCCAAGGGCTCCAAGAAGGGTGCCTCTGCTTCAGGACCTTTTCGCCCTCACGTCATGTTTCGAAGCATAGTTGCAGAGCCTGACTGGCAGAAGGTCTGCGACCGAGACCCCCAGCAGTTTGCCTGGCGAAGCTGTTAGCCAGGTCGTGCGCATCCGCATGCACCCGCCTTGCCTGCAGCGTTCTGCATGAGGCCCCAGACGGACACCGCAGTGAAGCTGCAGCGCTTCTGCTCGAAAGGCAGGGCCGAGCGGCAGAGCCCAGTCGAAGCTTGGGCCGTTTGCAGTGCTGACATTTCTGAGGACTGTTGCTCCCTCCTCACGTCCCGAAAGCCGCTTGCGTGCCGGGGATTACACGCGACGGGCTTCCAGATGGGTCCATGCTGGCGGTCCAGGCTTGTGCAAGCTTTAGGACAGCTTGACAGTGGCACTACTGCCAGGCCTAAGGCCAGCGTCCCAGGTTGCCACCCCTGCCATGCCGTTTGCATGGCAGGCAATCTTTTCTGCAACCTGGACTGGTCCGCGTGGCACTGGTTTGGCCTACACGGCCGAATCTCTTGCAGATGCTTGTGCTACTTTCCTCAGCCATGCCCTCAGGCATCCTCAGGCCATTTAAAACGATGTTCTTCGGAATGTTGCTAGGCTAGACGTTACGGCACCCACTACCCAGGACGCCTTGAACCACCAGACGTAAAGCTATATTTCGCTGCAGTGAGCCCGGAGAACCAAAGCATGCCGTCACATCCCTCACCACGATGCCGGAACTGAGGCCTGGATAGAACGTGCTATGGACTCGCCTCAGCAGGTGGGAAGCCACGGAATGCAGGGGGCGATGCAGCACCTTCCTTTCGCGGCAGGCGAAGCTTGCTGCAAGCCACATTGCAAGGCCAGTTTGGGCTGGGGATCTCAGCACAGCATGTTGCAGACGCTTCCTTTAGACACCAGATTGGTCCAACGTGTCCCAGTGGTTCCACTTTTGCAGGAGCAGGCGCGTGCGGTAGAAACCTCATCCTTTGAGGGAGGCATCCGCAGTTGTCAGAAGGTCACGCAGACAATTGGCGCTGCATGCCAGCTTGTTTCTCAGAGGACGCAGTGCCGAGCTTTCCGAGCATGTGCTTTCTGTGTCTTTCTAAGGCGTGTAGATGCGGCGCTGTCTACAAGAGGCACTGCTGACTTCCGACAGTTGCTGCTGTCGCGGATGTTGCTGACCCGCTACGCTGCGAGAAGGTGATTTCGCCGGTGCAGACCATGGCGAGATTGACCGTGAGAGCTTGACGTCCTGCTACCAGCTTTTATCAGGTGAGGCCTTGCCGTTTAGTGCAGTGCCATGAACATTTGCTGGCTGCTATGCTTGCCAGAGAGGTGCTTCATTCGTCAATGAGCTAGTGAAGGTGAGGCCGTGCGCAGTTGGCTACGGGTTCATATTGCGCACGAAGAGCATCCAACATTCAGGTTGGTGGCATCAACGCATCCATACAGCCCGCCATTCTGGTGCCGGCCTTTCATCATGTTGTGGTGGCTATGGGCTGTGTGTACTTCTCGATGATGTGCTGTCGTCGTTGGCATAGTCCTTTTCTGGTCTGTTGACTTGTGGGTTTAGTCGAAGCTATGGCCGGATCCAGTGTTTTCTCTTGTTCGCTAGATGGTTTTCAGATGTCAGACGTCTCAAGGCTATTTGCACCTCGAATGTCGCGGCTCAGGCTTGAGAGCCTTCCTAGTTTGATGTCACTTTCTCAAGCGTAGGGCTCCAGTGATGAGATCGGGGATTGGCACCTTCTTGGTAGACGCAGCATGCTCCAACGTGTATAACCGGCACATGCAGCGTGAAAGATCGGGATGTCCCCAGACCCGGCCCAGACCATAGACACAAAGAGCCTGGATTTGCACAGCTTCGTTGCGAGTGTTGGGGTAGCTGATGATTTTGACTTGCTTGAAATGCGTGGGACCCTTCCTCGCGGCAACTTTGGTGTGTTGTGCTGAGGAGAAGGCGAGACAACACGTCGAATCGACTTCGCCTGGGAAAAGAATGGCTTGGCCGGCTTGGTTGCCTTCAGGAGCCATGCATCAGTTCGGAAGAATTTCTGCCCGGAAGCTGGAGAACAACTTCGGGCCGACCAGGGCATGACTGTGGTGGCCAGCGAGCCCTCGTTTTGCAACGCTTGCGTCAAGCGATGGCCTACACTCCGGACTGAAACGACCTTGGGGTGACAGACCGTGCATACGCAGCCTCCTCCCCTCTATTCATGCGATTTCCGTGTCGGTCTTGGATGGCAATGACTCGAGTGGTCCACAAGATGTATGGACACTCGTGCGCTTCGGTGAATGCTAAACCTGGGCATTCTCGGGCAGCACAGCCGCAAAGAAAACGGCATATTCGCCGGGAGGACGACGTCCGAGCTGCAAGGAGTAGTGCCCAGGCAGCAGTCTGTTTTCCAATGTTCTTACTGGCCACTGTAGCCCGAACATGCCCGAACCGCTCTGTTTTGTGACTTGTGTCTATTCAGCTTTCTACGTGTTTGAAGATTTGTGCTTACCCACATGCCTCATGGAAACCTGCCAGGCATCCTTTGGTTGCGACCAGAAGTGGATATGTGGAAGGCAGAAGGAGGGGAGACGAACTGGACATTGAAGGTGCTACACGCACTTCCGAAATGTGGCATTTCGTGTGTGTCTGTGTACAAGGTTAGGATCTCGTGATCAACCGGCAGCGACACAAAAGATTGACGGAGTGCTTTCGGCAGTTAGCTATCGAAGCAGCAGAAGAGTGTTTGACCGCACGCTCGATGTGGCACTCTAGCCGTCTTGGGCTAGCCTTCACTTCAAGGCAACATAGCAGTCCGCTTGCAGCAAGCATCGGTTTCTATCTGAAGGGGCAAGGAAGCGCAGAGGAATTGCCGTGCTCATGGCTCCCTAGCAGAAATCATGCGATCAACTTGCGGTGATGAGCAGGGAGTTCGAGTCGAGGCAGACTTGACGAATCCCAGCTGCATAATTTCGCATGGATGTTCTTTTGCTCTTTTGTCGTGCCTGCAAGAGTACTACTCACTCCTGGAAGGAGCGTCTATTTGGCCGTTATGCTTGACAAAATGGGAGCAATGATGATTCTGCCTTTGCTTCCTTACATAGCCACTCAGACCCTCGTCGGCAGCATGAGCTTGGCACTGCGCGTAGATTCCATGAGCCGAAGCCAAGCATGCACCAAAGGATGAGCGGTTCTGCCTTTGCGGTTGGCTTGATGCAGTCGTTGTACAGCTTAATGCAGGCTTGGGCATGTTACCATTCGAACCTCCGAGCATGGTCGCAGTGGGTTGCATCACGTCTTTCTCGCAAGGTCTTCGGGACAATGGTGTTGGGCGCGCTGTCTGACGGTTTGGGTAAGCGCAGGACGCTTCAGTTTCTAGCAGTGCAAGAATGTCTTGGCTGGTTCGTCGCGTAAACTAAGAAAGGATTCTATTGGTGAGCTTGTTCAGCTCTTCCATATTTCTGCTGGCCTGCGGGCTCGCTGTGTCTTGGCAAACTGAAGGGCTTGTCTTGTGACTGCTCCACGAGGCTACTTGGTTGTCGCATCTAGATTTGTTAGGCGTCGCTGTCGCAGCTGCTCTTTTTCCGTGCCTGCCACGGCTTCTTCTCGGGCACCGTCCCTGGGCAACACGAGGAAGGAAATCTTTGGCAGAGTTAGGACTTTCTTTATACTGGTTTTGGGTTTGCACCTGTTTGCACATTGCTCTCAGGTTTGCATTTGCCAGGCCATTGTGGCCGATGTCACCGGGCCAGAGGCCTCATCAGGAAATTGAGGCATGTAGTGAGCAAGGTTGCAATTCGGCAGGAGAGAGTGGGCAAGATGGCCTTGATAATGGCTGCCTATGGAGCAGCTCGATTGTGCAGATGGCGTGAGAGGGAGTAGGGGTGGGCGAAGCATGGCGAAGCCCAGGTTGGTGTCGTCCTGGGACCTGGGATTGCAGGCTTTGTCGCGCCTTTTGGCATGTGCCGGCCTCACAGATCCGAAGGTCGACGGCTGCGATCCTTTCGCCCAGCTCAGGTTGGCAGTGTGTGCAACGGCCGCTGCCTGCACACTCATCAACTTCTTGCTGGCTGTGCGGCAGCTGCCGCAGGCGTGTCAGATGCTGTGCTGCCGCTATGCCAGAGCTCTCGTTGCGACACCAGAAGCTTTATATTTGTCCCAACCGTCCAACGTCCAGCCAGGACGGAATGAAGGAGCAGGCGCCGCTGAAAGCGCAGTTTTGCTGATTTGAGCTGGCACAAAGTTGAACTTGTCACTGACTTGGCTCTTCTATGCAGTGATCGCAGTTTAGATGCGCAGGAAGCTGAAGAAGACGGCGCGCAGGCAGCAACGCAGCAGTGGTTTTGATCACAACCCCCCGAAACAGAGCAGGCGGCGGCACAAAGCACAGTCGCCGTGTGGAAGCGGCTTTTGCATGTGCTGCTCGCCGATCCCGTTCTTGGAGCAGTGTCTTGGCTTTGCACTGCAAACAAGCATCCTTTGAGAGTGGAGGGGGCGAGAGTGGTGTCCCAAGGTTTGCTGCATCAGCCTTCTTCAGGAGTCGGCAGAGCGGAAAATGCAGCAGACTTATGCGCGGCATTGGGAGGAGTTTGCCATGGGCATCTACATGGGCGTCTCGCCCTTGCTTTTCAAGGTCTGCACAGGAAAGGGGGGTTCTTCGCGGCTTCGGCGGCTCCCGCCCCAGCTCCAGGATGTCTACGGCATCACCGCAAGCCAGCTTGGAATCATCTTCTGCGTCGCTGGCACCAGCATGATTGTCTTCCAGGTGTATCAGAGATTCCAACACCTTCCCTGGTTTCTTCCTCAAACGCCGCACCTGGTCAGGGCTTTGTGGTGAGCCGATTTGTGCGCATCGTCGGCAAGCCGGCAGCCCGAGTACAAGTAAGTATCCAGGGTGTGTGCGGTTGTCACAAGAGTGCTAGCATCTCGAAAGTATATGCCGTGTGTTTGCTGCCCTGCAAAGCATGACAGGCCAGCAAGCATTCTCTGTGGATGTACCTTGCGAGCCTTTGCTGCAGCAGGCATAAAGGCACTCGACAAGCCCTCAGTAGCAGAAAGCCGCGAAAGCAGCGCGTTGGCGCCCAGGCCTGCTCTTGTACAGCTGCCTTGCGGCATTCAGCCAGCCATTGCTGCCAGTACTCTCTGCAGAGCCTTGGCCGAACTAGACGATGGCAACTGCGAGAAGCCTTTCAGCTTGTGCAGACTCGTGCAGCATTGATCCGGCATCCAAGGTGTGTGTGGTGGCTGGCGGCGCCCTGGTTGACCTTGTCTCAGAAGTCGGCCCGACGTGTGTGTGTGTGTGTGTGTGAGATTCCATACATACAAGATCAATCAAGGACCCGTGCGCAGCAAGCCTAACCAGTGACAGGGCCCCCAAGGCAGAGTGACCTGGGAAAAAATAGATGAGTAGACATGACGGCCTAAGTGTTTTCGTACCAGTGCGCAGGGTCTCAGCGGCGTCTTCATGGGCGCCTACCAGGCAAGTCGCCCCAAGTTGGAGTTGCGAGAGATTGCAGACGCTGATTTTTAAAGATTGTTTTTTTGCAGTCTGCTGCCTCGGTGGGGGCCTTCCTGGGGCCAGTCACTGGCGGATTGCTTTATGGTTTTTCGCGGCTTGGAAGCACCAACGGGGGTGCAGTTCAGTTCTGGATGTGGCTGCGTTTCTCAGGAAGGCGTTTCCTTACGAGGTTGCGTCAGCGTCTGCCTGAGCAGTTGGCTTGCCTGAGATGGCTTCTTGTTCGGCACAAGTCGCGTAGATGCACGGAAGGTGGCATGCTTGGCATGCTTGCCGGTTGTCCAGCTGTTGTGGTCGCGGGCCTTACTTCAGTCCACCGCATCTCACCTACAAAACCTACAAGCAATTGGTTGTTCTGCTCGATGTTGCAACATGCGCTAGCTCAGGATGCGTGCTAGGTCCAAAGATCGACATGGCCCATCAACGAGCACCGCCCTCAGATGCACAGGAACTGTTGTGTGGTATCGCGGTACACCTCTTTGTGCAATCGCACACGCATCGAATTTTGCGTGAAGGAAACGGACATGTTTTAAGATAGTGAGCAAAGCCGAGTGAAACTTGAAAGAATTAGGCAAGGTCAAAATTCAAAAGCCTTCGTGCTTGAGAAGTCTTGCAGTGTCTTGAAGCTAAGGCGCCCAAACTGCAGCGACTTCCGATGCACTCCTGGACAAAGATTGCCAGGCATGCGACAACATAGAGCAGATTTGCACATGGTCTCAGATCGCTACGCCTCAGATCGCTATTCCTTGAGATGATGGTTTTCTACAGCATGTCACTACTGTGTGAAGCGTTGGCGTGTTGCCAGGAACATGAAATCCGCGGAGATAGGTCTCATGGGCATTGCCAATGCATCGCAAACAGCACCGATTCCTGTCGACATGTGTGATCCTTGATCGTGTTGGCCAGCTGGCACATGCTGGCACAAGCGTGGTTGGGGCATTCCAGATGTTGTGGTGCTGAGAGTGGCGATGATGCTTGGCTGTGCCCTAGGCTTTGGGGGCTGCGGGGCACATGGAAAGTTTCAGCAGCTTTAGAGCCTGCATCGATTGCTTAGGGGAGATCAAAGAGCAGAAACGGTTGGAGGAGCCCTCCCCTGCAGTCGACTTCACGGGGTATTGAAGCTATAAACATATTTCGAGTATGCTCAGACGACAGAACGTGCAAATGGTGGGTCTCTCGGATGTGGCCCATAAGATGCGGTGCGGCCAGGCCGATGAGGATTTTGTGAATCTACAGGACCGGTCTCCTATGTTCGTGTTGGGGGATTTTGTTCAACGGAATTTGCAGGAGGCGTCTCCCTCCCTGTCTCGTGCAATGACGCGGCTCAGGCAAGTTGGACTGAAGCCTTTGGCAACTTCAGAGTTGCAGCTTGAAGTGACAAAGGTCAGTTGCCGACCTTCGTAGGGAGCTCAGTCATGGCAGGAGAGAGTCTGGATTTCAAAGCGGTGTCCTAGCGCATGGTGGGACAGGTGCAGACATGTTCCAGTTGCCCTTGCCGACGTCCCAGCGCGCGGACCGCAGCCTGCGGCACATGGACCGGACCTCAGGAACGTGGCAAGCGGCAAGTGGTAACGAGCCGAAGGCTCACGCCTGCGCTTTGATCCGAGGATCGAATCGTGGAGGATTCCTCTGAGCAGCTTCAGCTCAAGGATCGTTCCAGAACCGAGGCTTTCTCGCAACAGCGTTCAAGGCGCCACTCTGCTCGAGCGACATTTTGGTGGCCTCAGAGCTCACACCATATGCGGGTATCTCAAAGAGACAGAACAACCCGATGTGTTGAAATCTGTAAACGACCCGAATACTTTTGCAAGGCCGTGCCCAGGGGATCCCAGCGGCACACACAGCATGCGGCACTGCAGGGGTGGTATTTAGCGCAGGAAACGGTGAGTTAGAGTTCCAGGAAGCCCGAGCAAGCAGATTTTTCAGACACCAGATGCATGCTGCAATGGAGCCGCACGGAAGGAGACGGTGACGCACCTAGGACCTAGGGCATCCTTCGCGCTAGCAGGCGAGCGCTCAGCAGCGGCCTGGAGAAAGAGATCCTCAGGCGATACTCCGTGGACGCCCTCGAAAGGCGCAGCGCAAGCACCGCAGCGAGCAGTGCTTGTGTGACTACGTCTTCGTTCTGTGTCGAGAGCATGCTGCCACACGGGTCGTCCTTGGCCCAAGACACGCCTTTCTTAGCTTCCGCATTTTGTTTATGGTGCACGCGTACCTCTTAAATGCAAAGAGGACTGCGATGCTTGCATCATTGCTAGCATTGTCTTTTCCGAAGTGAGCTTTCTGCGGGCTTTGGGCCCTGGGCAGTCAGGAGAAGTGGGTGAGGAGTGCTATATACTCGCTGGCGCCACAGGCAAGGCAACGCAGTTTGCCACTCGGATGGCAGCTTGAAGGTGCTGCTCTTTCACGCAGTCGCAATGAAGTGGTTTACGCAGTAACCTGACTGTTGGAACGACGCTGTGACCTGTCAAAGGTCTTATTTCTATGTTGCTGCGCAGCTGCTTGCCTGACTTGAAGGGCCCACATCTTGTTGTACCTTAAAGTCCCCGTAGTTAGAAGGGTGCTCGGTTGCTGTTGTAGGAGTAAGGCAACATTAGTGCCAGCATTTTCGTGAATTGATGACGTTGTCATGCTCATGCCGTGCGTCGTCACTATGCAGACTGTGCATGCTGCACTGGCCGGTGCCGGCCAGTCGAACGGTCAGGCTTTGCTCGTGAAGTGGTCGCAGTTTCACGATGGCCGCGACTTCTCGGAATTCCTGATGGATTCATCGAAGCAGCTCATAGGTGCGCCGAGCCGGATGCATTGCCACTCCGGCCGCGGCTTCACATGCTGTGACACTGCAATCCATGGCAGGGGCAGCTTGGATTCACCTCTTGAACTTGCTATTCGCGTTGCTTGGATGCCCGAAAACCGCTTGCAAGTACGCGGGTGTCCAAGACTTGTGCGGCTTCGTTCAGAAGGCAAAAAATGGAAAAGCACTACGAGGAAGCTGGAGGAGATGAGTGCGATTGGCTGGGTGCTCAGGATGTGTTGCCCTGCTTGAGCGCATTACCCTTGGAGCTTCGCCAGCTCGCTTCGGAAAGCCAGCAATCCGGATGCCGACGTTTCAGTTGGAGGTATTGGATCAATATTGTGGTGGACTGCACGCTCGGTGTCGCTTGCACCTACGTGCTGCTACAGCTGTCCACGAGGCCGATTGTTGGACATCATTAGGCATTTTTAGAGGCTTGCTGAGATTCTGGTCATTCTTGTTTCTGTTGCTTGACAGGATAATTCTGGCAACGGTCCCGGACCAGGCAGGGTGGTAAGCATGCGGAACCGGTATCTTCCTGCCAACCTCCTCACTCACTTGTCGGTATGAGCTTGCTTTGGCTCATCAATCAGGCACCTGATTTCAAGACTGGCGAGTACCGGGTCAACGGTGGCATTGACGCTGCGTCGCTTGGCAGCCAGCGCCATGGATCTTATCTACTTGTACAGAAGGTTGTTACTGGCATGCCCCCGGCACTTCTTCAGTTAAGGAAATACATTAAGCAGCTGGCTGTGTGGCTCGTGGTCGTCAGTTCAATGTTCGGCAACCCAGTGCAACTTTGCCTTCCGATTCCGAGATGCTGACATGCTCGTCTCACACGTTTGAGGAAGGTGGGTATGGTCGTCTTCATGGCGGTCTTCCACACTTTACTTCTAGCTGTTGCTCGCATGACCCTTGCGCCGTGCCTGCCTGAGTTCACCTGGAATTTGCAGCCTCAGAGGACCAACACCATAACATGAAGTGCATTTGCTACTTATTTCTCCAGGTTTGCGTCCAGCCCAAATCTGAAGCTGCTGGTCGCGATGATTGCCACACCATTTTGCATGAATGCGCTGCAGTTCTGGGTCACCGACAACTTTATCAAGAAGCAAGGTGCCGAAAGCACGGGCACACATGTGGGCTGTTGGTCGGGAAGCGTTAGGTGCGAGCCGGGCCTGTGGGAAAGCTAACTGTGAGTCCTTGGAGCTTGTGAAGGCGACCCGGCGGAAGTGGATGACGATGATGCTCAGATGCAAATTTCTGGGAAGACGGGCAGACTTCAGCTCAAACTTGTCAATGCATTGTTTGCCGGCTGCTTGAACATGAGATTTCTGGCTGGTGCTTCTCCAGGACATCGAGATGGACGAGCGCGGTGGACGCACCAAGATTGATCATGGGGATCTGTAGAAGAGAGTGCTCTAGACAAAGTTTCTATGAGCTCAAGTTGTGCGAATTCGCACAACATGTTTCGCCAAGCTGTGCAACTCTCCGGCAAAAGACACACAATGGGAATTTCACATGCCTCAGTGAAATTGGATGCATCAGAAGTTTCGTGCAGGTTCATCCCGGGCAATTGGTCGACAGAAAACTTCCCATGCGAAGAAAGTTAGGCTGCGAGGCGAAAATGCAGAGTTCGATGTCTTGGATGCGCAGTCCCGTACTTGCATTCTCGATTGATCGGATCTCATTGGACCCGTGTGGAACCGAAGAGAGCGTGGCTCAGTCAGCCTGTTGGGCATTGTTCCTCACCGAGTCAATGCTTGCTTGTGTGTTGTCAGCATCTGCTATACAACATGCAAGTCCCACGAAACACGGGTGCTGATTCTCTTAATCTTAGTTTGCATCGCTGCGATGTCGGAGACACTTAGGCAGGGATATTTGGACTCACAGTCCAAACCTCAGTCTCGGCTAAAGTTAAAGGTGATCTTGCTGGAGGTTTGTTGGTGTGGCTCTCGCTGCACGCGACTAAGCACACGGAAGCCTCGCTTGCGTGGCGTCGTGCATTTGCGAGATTCCCAGCTGTGGGGCTGTGGAGGCCATGGTGGCATTTCGTTTTGCCAATGAGCTTGGAATTCTAGGCACGTGCATGTGTTCAGCGATGGGATCGGTACGTTTCCATGCTTGCAAGCTGTGCCCGGCACCTGTCAGAAGCCTCGCGTGGGCTTTGATAAGTCAAATTCGGCGGAGTGTGTGCGGCAATCTGTTGAGTCTCTTGCTCGGGGCTTCCATCTCGGCAGGCATCGACGCGGAAGTTTCCGGAAATGCGACGCAGATCGCAGCCACAGCCGTTCAGATGAAGATCTGCACGTCTGAATAGGCTTGGTGAAAATTTGAAGATGCCTTGCAAGACTTGCTCAACAAGCAGTTGCGGGAATCTAAGGATCACGCGACCCAATCTGCAAAGGACCTACCGTGGGTGCAAAGCGATACAGCAGTGCTCTCTGTGTGTGTGTGTCGTGTCCGTATGTGTTAAAGTTATGTCCACTCAGGAGCACACTGTTCCCGTACTATGCACTGAATGCTGGGGACCATCAAGTAGCTGAACTAGTCTTGTGTGACAGTCCAACGAAGCCGAGGGCTTGCCATTACCACTGCTCGCTTAATGTGTCGCTTTTCCAATCATGTGCAGCTGGCTTGGCCAGGCGCCCTTGAAGCAAGATGCGCTGCCAAAGCTGGGCCACTAGATTCAACACTTCCATGTGTTCTTTTCTCATGTCTTTGTTTCTTCCTTAAGCTCCGGCATGTCCTCATGCAGTTGAATCGGCTGAAGAAGTTGAACCATGCACAACAGAGGGTTCTAAGACCTAAGAGCTGCAAAGCGGTATCAGCATGTTTGGTGTTGGAAAGGCCTTGGATGCAACATCATACCTCCAGCTACCCTTCAAAAGACCCAAAACCCCGCCCGAATACCTGGACGCTAGCTAGCGCCGGCAATCGTGGTGGGTTGCGGTGGGGGTGTCAGGTGGGCACAAGTCTCAAGATACCAAGCAGAAAATCTAAGCAATCGCGGGCACGTTTCCCAAACTCTACGATTTTCAGACTTTTTCGTCTCCGAATTCCATGGTGCCGCAACCGAGGCAAGGACCAGGTGTTGATCCAGTGCGCCTGGCACAAAGTATATTTTAAGGCTGCAGCCGCTGCGCTGGCAACCAGGTACTGTACCAGCTGATCTTACAAGGGCACCTATCAGCAGGTGTCGTCTATCCTGAAGGACGCAGACTGGACCGTGTATGTCAGGGTTGTGAGGACTTGCACGCCCATATCCTCGCAGCAGCTGGCTTCTGTAGCGTGGCATTTCCACCAAGTTTGTGGTTGACGATTTCTCTAAGGAGCGTGTAACGTCACACACTGCAGAGAGGCATTGACTTCACTCACTCAGCACAATTCAATTCAGCACACGTGGTATATGGGGTCCAGCGTTGGCTCCTGTTGCTTGCTGGAAGCATGCCATAACTGCGAGCACCAGTTTCTGGACAGCATGTCTTCTTGTGGGTCTTCCACGCTGCTGGAGAACGAGGACGTCCTAAAGGCCGATGCCGTTAGCACAGGTTCCAAGCCAGCTGTGCTTGTCCTCGGTGGCTCTACGTTTATGGGACGAGAGACTGTGCAGACACTTTTGGAGCTTCCCGCCCGTGTGTGCGTTGTGAATCGAGGACGCTCGTACTGGGGTACCAGGGACCCTTCTAACGGCCGTGTTGCGCGGCTTACTGCAGATCGTCGAGATAGGCGACGCTTTTCAGAGCGCCTGGATATGGTTACCACAAGACTGGAAGAGAAGTGGGCGCTCGTAGCAGATTTTTCGGCTTACGATGGTGCTGACATGAGGTGCGCTCTGGAAGGGCTGCGTGGAAGATTCGACACATATGCCTACATTTCGTCAGATTCCGTCTATGAAGTAAGTTCCGCAGCAGGGTCTGGATGGAAGCTGCAGGCTCAGGCTGTCGACGAGAGTTTTGCTCAAAGGCCTGCGGAAGATACAGTTCGCAAGAAGCTGCGCAAGGCAGATAGCTATGGTGACGGCAAGCTGGAGGCGGAGGAAGCATTGGCCGAAGGACTCGACTCCAGCACACGAGCCGTTGCACTTCGACTGCCTGACGTCATAGGTCCCTTCGACGATACTCTTCGATTGTGGGCATACTGGCATTGGTTGCGGGCAGGGGCAGACAGCTGTCGGCCTCAAGTTCGCAAACTGCCCACGAAGCGCGCAAGACTCGAAGCCCAAGCCACGACTCAGAGTTTCGACGATCCGCCGCTTGCATTTGTCTTCAGTCGAGATGTGGCCCGTTTCCTTGCAGGGTTGGTCGGCAAAGGGCTTCCGAAGCCGTTCGATGCAGTGAATGTGGGAAGTGACCTCCAGGTCCCTCTGAGGGATTTCTTGGAACTTCTCAGCAAGGCCTCGAAAGGCGCCTCGAACCCAGGCCAGACAGGCCAGTCAGACACCGGACCCCTTTTGTTGGAGGAAGTCGACCGGCCCCGCAGCTTTCTTCCAAGCGTGGAGCGACCATTGCCTTTGGATTTTCGACACTTGAAGCAGGCGTACGGCTTCGATTCCACCGCCCTTCCGGATGTTCTCAAGACATGCGCCGACTGGTTCGCTGGCGCATGCAAGGATTTCCCAGAGGAAGCAGCAGAGGCGGCGATGAAACTACCTGCTGAAGCCAGAACTTCAGCATTGGCAAGCGCAGAGCTGCTCGCACCACAGAGCCCTGCAAGCTCTTCGAACAGCTCTGACACAAGTTCAAGCTCTTGAAATCATGGCCAGCATCTGGATAGAAGGTAGAAAACTGATTCTAGCCTTGCAGATGTGCATGACCGGTGAAGCAGCATTGCACCCGTCTCGACAGCATGCAGTAATTCCACTTGTTAGGTCTACCTTGCATTCCGCCAGGAGCGTGCTCTTACTGATTTGGAGGCGTCGGCACTCTGGTCCCTTTGCTCGAAGCCTGGACCTATAGTATAGGCTAAGTCTTCACTCCTTGTCAGGTGAGAGGGATGCCATATCCCGTTCCGACGTACAAGCAGCACTTTGTTTGCAGCAGTGCATGTCTAACGAGGCTGCTGCTACTCTCTTTAGAAATGAATGCTACAATGACTGAGAGATATAGTGAGGTACGCGTCCAATGTCTGTGCCCCAAAGTCCGCAGGTTTTTTGTGCGAGCCCGCTTTACCTCAATGTGAACACTCAGGCAGTCTTTGCTGTTCAAATAAGCTTGTGGGCACTGCTCTTCCTCGGTGATGCGATCTTTGAAGCACTGAAGGCCCAGACTGCCCAGGTAATCTGCAGCCGGTCGCAGCTCCCGAAGTGATGCCAGGTGCCGAAGCCGGAAATCGTAACCTCAGCGCAGGGGCCGGGTTGGCGTTCACTGTGTCATACACGTCGGCAGAGCGTGAGCAGAGCTGAAGTGCAGCGTATGCCAGCGTATGCTGGCAGCATTCCAAGACTGGAGCCGTGTTGAATGCAATCGCACTGGAGGAACAGGATGATGTCCTTCATGGGAGTTTGGCTCGTGGACCCCTCATTGCCGCGTGTGTCCGATGATGTGCTCGCACTCGTGGCCGTCTTGAGGTTGGCAATATGGTTTCAGCCCAGCTGCTCAACACTGGAGCCTTCGTTGGGAGCCAAGATCTGAATCCCGGCGGCTGGATAAGGGTCTTTTGCAGCGTTCGCCGGCCCATGCAACACACGGCCAAGAATGTGGGCAGACAGCATGATAGTTAATTTTGTTATGTGCTCACCGGTCTCTTGTGCTTCGTTCCTGCACAGGAAATCCAGCACGGGGATCAGCTTGTTTGGCTATTGGCTTGGCATGGAGTCTAGGTTGTCTAGAAGTCTCGGCAGTCGGAGCACAAAGCTTTCTTGCTTTCGTGAGGTCGTCTTTGGAGATGCAGTCAGTGGCTGAGCCTGCCAATATGGGTCCCTTTGCATCCTGTGTCAGTGCAGCTGCAGGCGGCTGCCAAACATGGCTGATTTGGTGCTGCTGCCTCGGGGTGGCACTCTTCTTCTGCGACAAGTGCAGCTAACGCCGTTCGACCGAGGCAGGCCTTCGCCACGAGCGGAGCTCAGAAACCTCACCGCACCCACTGCAACCACTGCAGGCCTCAGTCATGAGTCTCTCAGTTTGCGCGGCAAGGGCAGCACAAGCTGAGGACTGGCGTCGAGTTTCTGCAGAAAACTGAGGTTTAAACCAATTCAGCCCATTTCAGCCACCCAACCGCGGTGACTGCAGTGTAGTGAGCTTGGTGTGACGGTTGTTAGTTCTTGTGTGAGTATAATGAAGCAGCTGAACTATAGAGAGAGAGAGAGACGTTTCGAGCCCCTTTCTGGGGAAAGGGGGCGTCGGTGCCTGTTCTCGTGAGCAAGCAAGCAAGCAAGACAAATAGAGACCCGGGTTGGGAACTAGGGCCGCCGCCCGTGGGAAAATCCGCGCCCCTTCTATGGAAAGCCCTTCGCAGCGCCGCCACTATCAACCTTGATCTTGCTTGCTGCATTTGTCCGGAGCTCATTCTCAGCTCTCTCGCACACAACCTCTGCCTACCGCTTTCTCTTTCTTTCTTATGCCGGCACTCTCCTTTGGTCTGTGGTGTCGCGAGTGGCCAGCAAAGGTAACAGGATCTGATCTACTCTCTCCGTCTTTCGCCAGGACTAGGGTGAAGGCGAAGGGGTATCCCCCCCCTCCACTCCCATTGCCAGCTGGGAACGAGAGACTTTCCGCCCGCCGGACCCAAGCGGAGCCCAGAGCGGAGCATAGTTCGCCCTCGCCCTACTAGGACTCTTGACCCAGCTGTATCCAATCTCTTTCCCCTTCCTTCCGAAACGCACCGTGCCCGTTCTCTTGCTCTCCCCACCTTGGACCGGGGCGCAGCACGGCTCTCCTCCCCTCCCCTCCCCTCACCTCCCCTCCCCACGCCCCCATGCTTACCTCCCCATACATACATAATTACTTGCATACATACACACTTATTATATATGAATACACATGTAGCTGGTCCAGATTGATATGTATTGAATTTCTATCACATGAGCGAAGTCTACATGTGTTTCTTTGTGTATGTTCATCCCCAGTATTGCAGAAGTTGCCTTGCCATGGGCTTAGCATCATCAGCCCCTTGTCTCAAAGAGGCAGGTTCGAGTATGTTATAGCAGAGCAGCGTTTCACTCTTGGATTCTCGTATCCGGCGGACCACTGCTGCCTACGTGCACTGCCTTGAGAGCCTGAGTTGCAAGTAAGATGTTGTGCGACATGTGATGGCTTGAGGGATTCAATATCATTCAATCAGCATTTGCATGCCTTCGCGAGTGAGTGCATACCGTTTCGCAAAGTGTGGTGCGGCTATCAGCATGCGTCTTGCTACGCGTTTCCTGTTTCGTTGTTTCATTGCGGCAGTGTGGATCTGCCTAAGGTGCCCCAGTGCAGGTGAGCGAATGAACGGGGGAGCCTGCAAGTCGCGCCCCCCCCGCGATAGCCTCATCGCGCTTTGGCTCTGATGGCTTGTGCGAGGGTGCTCTCTGGGTGTGGTAGCCGATGAAGTCTACGACTGCCCGTCAGAAAGATGCGCGAGTTTTCTCGGTGTCCATTTTGCACTGCAGTTTTTGGCTCCTTAGAATCGTTGTTCGCCATGCCCCTCTCCGTCCCCTTGCTGTGAAAGGGCGCATGTCTTGTAGTGTCCTGCCAAACAGGCTCAAGTGCAGAGGGTGCGACTCATTGTCCACAGCGTCCTTCACAGGGCCGCTTGCCTGCAATCCCGAACGAACTCCACCACTTTCTGCATAGACAGTGGCTGTCGAGGAGGCATGTTGCAGTAAACGCACACGGTAGAGTCTGGTGCGCTGAATTCTCAGGTGTTGCGCAGCCATGCAGAAGAGCCAGAGTGAGGGCAGCTTGGCGTTTCTGAACAACTCGAAGGCAGGCCGCAGTCCGTTAAAAAAGCTTCGCCAGACTCGCCAGAGCGCGAGAGAGGTCGGCTCGGCTACCGGCTTCATGCTGGTCTGTGGTGGCATCATGGCAATTCCGTGGCTCGGAAAAACCGCCAGCGGTGCAGTAAGCTTCCAGAGACGGGTATTTTGTTGCTTTCTTGGCCTTCATCATGGCCACGGGCTGTTGTCAGGCATGGAAAGAAGTCCAGAGGACTTGCAGATGTTGCGACCCGCTTCACGGCGGTGTCTGAGTACCAGGACAGTCCCATCACGTCCTCATCTTTTGGCTTGGTGTGGCAAAACTGATTGGTCGTATCATTGATGACGTCAGTTTCTGGGAGGACAAATTTCGTGAAATTCCGCACTGCTATGCTTCCATGGACAGGTCCCCACTGTTTTTGCTTCGAAAAGATCTTGCGGTCGGTCCGGCAAGACTTGAGTTGACAGGAAGCCGCTGATGCCTTACAACCCCAATTCGCATCGGGCTTACGCGTCGGGACTTTAGCAAAATGTTCTTGGAAGGGGTTGGTAAGGAGCAGCCGAGGACCCGATCACGTCTCGCTTTGGAGGATGCGCCAGTTCCGTTGAAGCTCACTAGCTGCAAAGAGGGGGGAGCTACCATAAATGTCGACGAGGTTGGCAACGGTCTTAATGGTTTGTGCCAGCTTCTGCAAAGACTCGCTGTGACTGCGTGTTCGAAAGCTGGATGATGTTGGAGATAGTAATCGGACTCTCTCCGGAAGTCGCCGCGAAAGGAGTGCGGGAAGTCGCGAGTCGCCAGTTCTCGGCAGGTAAGCCGTGTCATGCCATGATCATGGACGTGTTTCCATATCAGTCATGGATTGTAGATGTCCCAAAACCGGAAGCGCCATTTGTAGAACCGAGTGGGCAAGAAAAGTAATCTCTGAGGATGCGGCACTACTACAGAGATGATCCACCGAATTTAGCGGCGGTGTCCGCTTGAAGATAGCAGTATTTTGTTCCTATGTTCTCAGCCCCGACCCCACTATGTTTGCAAGGTTCGCCTGTAGTGTTAGAAATACGTTTCTGTCGCGGAAGCGTTTGGCAATGCCTGGCAGCCCTGCTTTCAAGACTCGCAATACTTGCAACGATGTGGAGAGCCGTGAAGTTTGCGAGAGCTTACAGCAACCTGAAGACATCTCAAGGAGAGAGAGCTTCAGAGCGAGAGCGGGAGTGAGACAGAGAGAGAGGGAGAGAGACAGAATGGGGTGTGTTAGGTTCATGACCCTTGGAGTGCCAGTGAGAGGGGCCGAGCCCTGTGAAGCTAGCTGCTCCAGATTCTTGTAGCCGTTTAGTTGTTTTTAGAGGCGCAGTGACTCATTGGCAATGTGTACTGTCCTACACTTCGGAAGAGGGGAAAAATGCCCTACCGGGGGACCTCTCAACTGCTGTACTTGACTTCAAGGTTGTTGTAACTCCTGGTTAAGTCTTTATGGTTTCGATCGGCAGTGAGGGGGACCAGAGTAGTCTCACACAGACCCGAGGGCACAGCAAGGACCTGCAACCCTCGAGGGACAAAGGACTCGGCTGCGCGGGGGGGGGGGGGGGGGGGGGTTTGACGCACGGGTGAGCTCCTCTAGGGCCGCGAGCAAGCAGGCAAGAGAGAGAATGACCCCACAAGGCCCCCATACAGGGGCGCGCCTTCGGCGCGGGGAGCTTGACACGCTCC